TACTTTCATGATTGTGATCAGCTAACCTGAGTATCAGGTGATCTTTCAACCTATACTTCCTCAATATACTCACTAAGCAAGCCTTAGCCTCCATTAGTGCAAACCTCATTCCAATACAACTCCTTGGTCCTGAACCAAAAGGAATGTAAGCCTGAGGATTCCTACCCTCCTTGCCCTCTGGACTAAACCTGTACATCAAGAGGAATCATTAATGATTAATTTTTAAAACAGATCTAACCGTTTTGGATTGAAAACTTCAGGCTGATCCCAATACTCTGGTGACATGTGTATCTTCAGTATGGGAATATCAAATCTAAATCCTTTAAGGAATGTGACACCATTGATTGTACATGTCTCATTACACACACGACCAGTACTATAAATAAAAGCAAAATGAAATATGTCACTATTAAACAAAATACTTTGGTGCTGGTGGATATAAGCGCAATGATTCGTGCAAGACCCAATCAAGATAAGGAATATTCTGTGATGCATCATACAAAGAAGCCTCCTATTAATACACAGTGCAATAATAATAATAACTTCTTTCCATTATACTTCATTTTCCTGGTAGTAGTCATCAATGGCTTGACACAGTTGTTCTTGCTCGTGAGGATTTATTGCTAAAAGATATGAAGTGAAGGCCAGCATGCTGCTTGTAGTGTCATGACCAGCAAGCATGAAGTCAAAGCAGAGACCAACAATCTGTTTGTCAGTTAGTACACGTGAAGCCTTAATGCTAGACTCATTATCTGGGTCATCTGGTGCTTCAGCATCCATTAATAATTGAAGAAAATCTTCCCTCTAAAAACAAATGAGACTAATAATGTGTATATATAATTTAAATCACTCCACCAAAGCAAAGGAACCTTGCTTGTGAAAAATTGTTACAGCGGTTAATTAAATTGCCATGATATTCCCAACCAGTTTAAAATGAGATGGTACAGTAAGTGTAGTAAAATACTTTGACCCTCAAAATACAAACCTTGTTGCCATTGTGGCTTTGTTGCACTTGCTCTCTTCTTGATTTTATGATACTCAATGAGGTATCATTAATAACCTTCATGTGTTTGCCTAATGGTAGCATCCTCACACCAATGACACTCAAAAATTTCAGCAAAGTAGGGAAATAACCTATAGCCACCATAATGCAAGAGTGCATATTAATCCA